CGATAGCAAACCACTATTCATTCCGACTAACAGTAAAAGATTTAACTATTTTGTATATTCTTTCTTGTTACGTTTAAAACAGAGACGGTGAAACTATCTTCATTTTACGGAATAGTCTTTAAACGCAACAGACGGCTGTCTATAACAGCACCCTAACGCTTCAAAATGATTTATCTTAATTTACCATTTCATGGAAAGGCACGTGACGGTGCGTTGTTTGTGAACAGGAGCGTAATACAAATTGTCTCCAGCAATCCCCTTAAACGACATAACCTCGAAATGTGTCTCTTAGAATAGTTATTTCATTGACATTTATACGGATAATTGAAAAAGAATCACGTTAACAAAGCCCTTAAAATACCTTCAAATATTTTAAATGTTTAATGGTATATATATACTGGCTGATAGCCTCACGCTTCAGTGGGTGCACGACAATATTGTATTGCGGAACCTAGATGTAAAATATCAAGAAATCAAGAAAAGATGTTTGAAGGGACTATCGTAAAATCAGTTCTTATTGAGCGTCTACATTGCGAAATGAGTAACTATACCAAATTTTAAGTCAATTGGGTCTATAGTATTAGAGATCTCGTGATGAGCCAGTCTGTCAGTGGTATTTCGCCTATATATATATATATATATATATATATATATATATATATATATATATATATATATATATATATATATATATTACACTGTTGGTTCTGCAGACAATGTAAAAAAATATATTGTTTGAAAAATAAAAACCTTTTAAATTTCATGAACAGCCAAGATACATTGTTTAATAAGCTGTTACTCGCTTCGCAAACATTAACTTTAACTTCTATGTTAAATTTCTTTAGAAACCGTTCTGCCGTTCAAGCGTGAATGGAAAATAAACATCCAAACTTTTAATAAAGCTTGTAAGAAATAATTCTAAAGCGATCGATGTTAAGAGAATGTTATTATGTCCATAATAGATACGATTGCACGCAGCCATTATTCTTTACCTTTTTACCACCCCTATTTACTGCTGGATATAAGCGTCTTACATGGTTAAAACTACGCTGCAGATATATTATGGTCTGACACTACACCCACACCAAATGGAACAAGCACCAGTAGGATAACGGACGGGACGCGTCGCACCCGTAGGCGGACATGACGTGTTCCAGTACACACCGCGTATACACCGTACACCCGTGTATCTGAGTGATTCTCATCGCCCAGAACATCGACCGACACGAGCTGAGCAGTCAGAGGCGGATGTCCGCACTCCCCTACTCGGACAGCGGTTAGATAGCTACCATAGAGACTAGAACCACCATAGAGACGATATGATGATTGGTAACAATACCAAATCATAAACCATCATCATTATCATCCTCATAACCATTGCCTTTCCCTTTTTAATCAGCTTGCGGCCTTTCAGGCCGGACCGGGGTCCCTTTTTACTTGTAACAAGGCATTTTTTCAGTCTTCACGGGTGACAATGTATCTGAGCTTTGATTTTAATCAAGGAAAGATGTAGGAGAGTGTAGATCACCACGCTCGACAAACGGTTTGATGATGGCAGTACCAGGTATCTCGCTATTATGACGCTGCTTTTTTATGGGGGATGTGAGAGCACACGGCTCACCTGATGGTAAGTGCTTACCGCCGCCCATGAACAACTACAACACCAGGGGTATAGCAGATGCGTTACCGGCCTTTTAAAAAGGACTATCTTTTCTTGAAGGTCCCTAAGTTGTATCGATCCGCGAAAATCTCTGGTGGTAGTCGATTCCACAATGAAGTTGTGCGAGTAAGGAAACTCGTTTTAAATTGCAGAGTGGTGGACCTTTTTATATTTTTATAATTGGCATAGGTATTTCACACCTGACCACTAGGTGGTGGGAATACTTTTCTACCAAGGAATTCGTTTGGGTAGGTACTACCCTCCTACTACCTACTCCAGCCAGTGTTCCAGTCTGAAGGGTACATGGAGATTCAGTACGGGTACAGGCTGTGAGACATACCATCTTACACCTCAGAGGTGACAAACGCATCTGAAACCTTGTGGGTCGAAGTAGTTTGAAGTTCCTTTTGACTACAGTAACCACTGACCGTCAGGCGTATGGTTAGCTCGTTTGTCTCTCTAATGTTCCTTGAACATCGTCAAAGATACGACACCACAGAATAAATAATAGACGACACGCCTATTGCCATCTTGAATCCAAATAACGCTATACCGTTATGACCTATGGACCTGAGACGTGGTCCTTCACTGCTGGCAGTATGAGAAAGCTCAAAGTCGCTCAGCAAGCTATGGAGAGGGCTTTGCTCGGCGTTTCTCTGCCTGATAAACTTAGGAATGAGGATATCCGCAGTAGAACCAGAGTGACCGACATAGCCCAACGGATTAGTAAGTTGAACTGGCAATAGGTCGGCCATATAGCTCAAAGAACCTATAACTGGTGGGGGGAAAAGGTTCTCGAGTGGCTGCCTCGTACCGACAGGCGAAGTGTAGGCCGTGTCCCCACTAAATGGAGTGACGACCTGGTAAGACATGCAAGAAGTCGTTAGTTATATAGAATACATCTCTCATATAGTATGTAGCATAGTCTTCATACTATATGAGAGGACCCATAGAACACTATAGTATTGGACCGATTCGGCTCGATAAAGATGAATGGAATTTAAATATTATTTCACTTAGTATCTATCTAAAGTCCATAATCTCGGTTTAAAGATTTATGTGAATATACAGCGTAAGTTGAAAAGTAAAATCCTCTTTTTGCCGCTTAAAGCGCGGTCAGTAGCTTCTTAACTTCAAAGTGTAGCGCTGTTTAAAACTATATGGAATTTTTATTTTCCTCGCTTTTCTTGATTCTGGGAATTCAATATTTTAAGAATACTTAACTAAAAGGTATTCAGGTGTTGAACATTTCTTATGAAACTTAATCTTAAATCTTTTAAAGGATTTAAAAACTTAAATCCTTATGATCTACAAACCGGTCCGTTTTATTAAAAACACTTTATGTTACACTGAGTGAAATGATACATAAAGTATATTTTTATATATAATATGTAATACTAGTGGCCCGCCCTGGGTTCACCTGGATAAGATCTATTAAAGATAATTAAAGAAAAATTATCGGATCACCGTTATAAAAAAATCTTTACTTTTTAGATTGAAAAATAGCCTAGATCCCGTGTGGTACTGCTCTCCATCTGTTCGTAAAGTATCATCACAATCTGTTCAATCATTCCGAAGAAAGCTCGTTAGAAGAAAAACAGTTGGACAGACAGTCAATTAATTAAAACATGGCTATTTTGTGTCAATAACATTCAAATACACCTCCCCCCCCATCCCCGAGCTCAATAGAAGCCAGTTATTATATTTTTATAATTTTTTTTAATTTTAAAAAATTAAATAAAAAATAAATTTTTTATATACAAATTTTTTTTTTTTTTTTCTCCGTTTCCCCCTAACCCACCACTCCCCATTTTTATTTTATATATAAATTTAATATAAAAAAAGAGGGGGGTTTTATAACAGACAGACACTAAAATATAATTTATATGTATATAGATTATATAAAACTACTGCGCTATAGTAGTTCAGAGGAACAAGGAATTCCATCTTAGTCCTCAGGAGTGACAATGTATCTGAATTTTGATTCTTAATTGATGATACATATTTACCGTGCAGTAATGGTATAAGTATATCCCCTACTCCATATCATCCCGTGGATGTCGTAAGAAGCAACAAAGGGACAAAACTCAAATGGGCAGGAGTTTCTTCCTAATAACGACTGAAAATAACAAACTGTGGCTGCTAACCCGCTTGCCGGGCGTGGCATCTGTGGCAAACATTGAGGCAATCTATGGAGGAGGCCTATGTTCAGCAGTGGACGTTAATAGGCTGTAACAGGTTATCATTTAGCAGTTTTAATATATTAGCATTAACGGTGACGGATACATATAATGTCCTCCAGACCGAATTTCGGTCAGGGCGACTGGCCTCAACGGAGACTAGCCAGCGGCGCACAAAGGATTATAAAACCCAACGGTCTTATTCCAAAAAAATGTTTTGGTCCTGGTTTAAACCAAGACTAACAGATCAAGGTTTGTTACGGTATTCACTTTAGTACCAGTATCAAAATGTATTCTTATTCCAAAACGCAGACTATCCGTGGACTAGTTAGTACCAAAATTCGTCGTGGTTTCAATATCATCCACAGATAAGAAACAAGAAATTACATTCTTTCATTCGTTTCTACAGGTTTCAATGCAACGTTCTGTTTCGTTAAATATTAATATTATTTTCACACTTAATTATGCTTAAATAATTATTCATCAATACAAAAACATATTGTTATTTCTTTAGGTAAAAATCTATTAAACAATCACGACTTATACTTTTATTAAAGTGCTTTTTATAATCGTTTTCATTTTAACGACTCTACCGTGAAATGGAGTAAATTACATAGGTACCGCGAGCGCGTGAATAAAATCGTTCAAAATTTTTATGTTGCGTTCTTATGTATAATAAGTAAATGCTCTTATTTTAATACATTGCATTGATCTCAGTATTGTGGTATTGCAGATAGTAAGGTTTTATTTGGATTATTTGGATCTATATTTATAATAATGGAACAAAAGAAAAAAAGGGGTGAAAATTGGAGTTCAGAAGAAAAAGTTAGTGAAACATCGTAATTTATTTGTTAGTGCGTAACAACGCTCTTATCCTCCTATCATCCTTATTTCGACTAAAAAGAATATTCTTATTATTATAGGAAATATTACGTACGTTTATTGCTCAATCAGCACCTATTTTAGAAGATAAGTCGACGAAAACGTGCGTAAACATGAAAAAAATAAAAGAGTGGAAGAATATAACTAATAAGTAAGTACTTATTGCATTTGTTGTGTACGCACGGTATTGTTTACAAGATTTATTCTTTTATTTTAGATTTAATGAGATAACAGGTAAATGCCGATCAGATGGGGAATTGAAGTTAGCTTGGAAGAGGATGAAGTTGTCGGCTAAATCAAACCTATGTACATATAGGAGGGAACGATCAAAAACAGGGGGTGGCGAAAAACCACTATCACCTATTCCTGAGGACTTACAAATTATGGCAATTGCTCCTCACGACTTTGTCATTGAAGTTAACGATTATGATAGTGATGCAGTGGTAAATAAAATTACTTATGTCTTACACATTTAATTAAAATGAAATAACTTTATTTTGTATACTAAATATATTTACTAAATTGTATAAATAATCTGCCATTAAGGCATACAATTTACAATACAAAATTATTTTTCAAATATTCAAAACTTAATATACGTATGTAATAATTTCTTTTCAATTAATTCATTCTTATTCAAAATTGAAATGTCATAAATTCGTACATAGTGGTTTATATATCATAACATACATCTTAGTAGATTATCTACACTGGTCGACTATAATTTTCTATTTTATAATTAATAACTTGTATTACCTATTGCCTCGACCGTAATATTTCCACAGCATATAAAATACCTGATTCAGTTAAGGGAAATATTATATAGGCAATGACAGGAAAACATGATAATAAATGTTTTAGTAATTTATTTTAGAATCCAGTGACTGTGGCTACAACTACAAAAGAAATATTTGCTGACCCTAAGCCTTGCCTTAGTTTTAATAAAAATGACACACCAGTAGTTATAAACATAGAATATCCAGAACTCAATGTCGAGGTGCAAGGTAAATAATAATTATTGATTATTTATTGAAAAGCAAAATATACTATTATTATAGTTACAATCATATTGTGTAGTACATAAATTTGTCTCAATATTAAACATGTTTAATTTACTATAACCTTTATATTAATTTTTAGAGATATCAAACGATCCAACTACGGACACAGAAATGAAAATAACCAACAATGAAACTGCTAATACAAGGGGCATTACAAAAACAAAAGACAGGAAAAAAGGGCTTGCAAAATAGGTATGTTAAAATAATTACTTTAATACATCTCATACTTTTTAACATTTGTATGTTAAAAAGTATGAGATGTATTATATGTATATTTAATTAAACACTAAAAATGTTTCATATTTTCAAATATTAAAAAGCAAAGTTAATATTAATTGATTGAAAAATAACTATAAATATATTTCTTTTGCCTACAAGGTTAACTTTCATTCTAGTACATACTTTTATTACTTCATAATACTTAGTACATAAAAATAGTACATACTTTTATTACTTCATAATACTTAGTACATAAAAAAAACTTACATTAAGTATTCCATTTCATTTTACAGAAGAGAAGATATACAGCAAACAATCATAAAAAGCAATACAGATTTTAAAAAAAGACAACTAGAAATGATGGAAGAGGAACATAAATACAACATTAAAATAGCCAAATAAAAATTAAAAAATTAGAATTACAAATATCTTTGTTAGAAAGTCAAAAAAATACAAGTTAAATAGCAGCTTAATGCTACTGTGTTTCATATGGTGAGTGTATAGAACCAGAATAGAATAGAATAGAATGAGTTTTATTCAATATAGATTATTACATAACATTTATTCAAAAGACATTTTTTATTCACCACTGGTTTGGAAAATACCTCTGTCCTGGGAAGAACCAGCAAGAAACCCAGCGGGACTTTTCTTTTAAACATATTTCACTTTACAAATTTTGGTTTACAATTTTTAAATTAATTTTAATAGAAACAGCATAGCAGCGATCACCTCATTTGCAGGGGTTATTTTCATTTATGTATTCTTTGATATTATAATAACCCTTTTTATATAATTTTTCGTTAGTAAAACATTTATGCCCAAATACTTTAACACTACTCACTTTTAAGATGCAGTTAAGTCTCATGCTATCTCTATCACTAAGTCAAAGTGAATGTGACACCACAAGGAATATTTGGCCATTAAACTTTTATTGACAAATTTTGTATGAGAGACCCCTTTTACTGGAAACGAGGAATTCCATTTTAGCCCTCACATGTGACAACGCATCTTCATTTTGATTCATAGTCGAGGATAGATGTAGATGTCTATGTGCCAGCAATTACTTACCATCAGGTGAACTGTGTGCTCGTTTGTCACCATCATCCTATTAAAAAAAAAAACTAAATATTCAAGACTATATCAGATACATGTTTGTAAATATTCTGATATATGAAATTATTCTTTTCAGGTACTTATTGCTGCAAATATCTGTACATCTTTCAATAATAATTAAAATAAATAATTATAAACAATATTTATTTAATTAACATAACATTGGCATAATAAACTAAACCTAATTACTTAATTATCACACAGTCCTACTTCCTGTGAACCCTTGCACCTCTGCAAAGGAAATCCAACTGTGAATGTAGCAGAGCGACAATATTCATTAAAAAAATCTAAACAGATCTCTACAGCACTTAAGTCTATTTAAACATAACTTCATATTGATGTGGAATATGCTGTACCCCACATCTTTCCCTGAAACACAATCATTATGGCTTAAATAAAAGCATTTAGCTTAATAAATTAAATATTATCACAGTACTTCCCGTGAGTAGTTGTTATTATTTGTCAGCTGACAACGGCTCAGCGGAAAGATTTTACTTTATAAATGAGTATTATGTCTGAAATCAAAATATAATAATTATTATAATTGTCTTATATATTTATTGACCTCTTTATTACATTATTTTTATTCAATGAAGCTTGGCCCCTAAATTACAAAATAAAATAAATTAAATGTACATATAGGCTTTGACAATTGAAAAATTGTAATAATTTTATAAATTTAATAATAAATTATAAATTTTAATTATGGATTGTTATATAAAAATTGTAAAAAAAAATGTTTACCTACTGAAAATGATTTTCAATAAACTGTCTTCTCCTAATATTTCCCCTTATTGATTGTGGAATATATCTTTGTACTATAGGTTCAGATGAATATTGTTCAGTGCTATCTACCTCACCAGAAAATACATCTTCTCTCATGTCTATGGCAATATTGTGTAGTACAGCACATGCAACAATTGTTTTTTTGCTGTTTCAATGTCCCCAAACATACCTCTTAATAGGCAACGAAACCGTTGCTTCCATAAACCAAAACATCTTTCCACCGTGTTCCTGGTACGGATATGACTCCTATTATATCTTTCTTCTTGTGGTGTTGTTGGGTTCAGCAGTGGTGTAAATAGGTATGGAGTACAAGGATAACCACTGTCACCAAGTAATATTCCAGAGAATGCACCAGCCTCAAACCTCTGTTTTAGTCTACATTCTCGGAATATTCTAGAGTCATGTACGCTGCCACGCCACCTAGTAACAATGTCCATGATTTTCAGGTTAGCATCACAAACCACTTGAAAAGTGAGAGCTCATTAGTCCTTTGTTTTACTGATATAGATTGGTTATATTTTATTGTGCACCAAAATTGTAACAGATATTACTATTTTAATCTACATTTTTTGCCATAAGATAGTCAAACAAATTATTTTCTATTTTGGTAAAGTAAAGTAATTTAGAGACAATCACAGCTTATTTAAAATATTTGTACATTACCTGTATATTAATTGAAGAAAATCCTTTTCTATTAATATATAACTGACCCCCATTAGCATTTACTTTCTTTATTCTTATGTGAGTACAGTCAATTGCGCCAATTACTGTAGGAAAATTAGCAATACTGCGGAATTTCCTAATGGTTTCCTGTTGTTCATTTAAAGAGGTAGGCATTTTAATAAATTCTCGGGACATTCGTGACAAAATTTCCGCTACTTTTTTTACATGTCCTACTGACTATTGGTTGAGACACACCATGTAAATCACCTGTATCGTCTTGAATCTACGAATAAAACAATAATATGTATTTTTTGGCTTTTTATCTAGCGTTATGTTGGATACATTGACCAAGATTATTAAATAGCACTTACTTCATGGCGAGCCCAGTTGCGTAATACACACACACAAGTAGTTTACTTGGATTTCAGGACTCAGTGGGCATCCTCGAGAGTCGTGCACTAAATCCTCACGTAAAAGATCCACAATTTTTTTTACCGAAACGTTTTGAGAACCTATACTTATACCTAAAATTTTCGTCACTCAATTCAAAAGGATTCACACGTTGACGATGTCTATCAGGTCGCCGAGTGGTCTCTAGCATGTCCAAATCTTCTAAATCCATCAAGTCAATCATGTTTATATCCATTTTTAACGATTAAAAACACGAAATGAAAACAACGGTCGCTAACGTCAAATAAAGAAGTGCTGAATTTGAGGTTGGTACCATAGTTAAACTAGGGGTCTCGGAAGTTTAACTTTAGTACCATAGATAGTCCTAGAACCAGAGATAATCTTCGTTTTGGAATAACGTTTTATTTAGTTATGGTTTAAACCTGGTACTAACTCCAGTACCATATTTAGTCCGCGTTTTGGAATAAGGCGGCAAGTGTTTGCGCAAGCACAGGTACACTCTCTATTTCTTCGATGGGAGATCAGCCGCAGGACTAACGGCTTTTTGTGCTTTCCGAGGTAGGGTGTTGAGACACCGCTAGCAACCTGACTCCGGGCAGCTACTGAGAATTTCTTGATGGAAAAACTCAATAACTAATTTTCCTTGGCCCGTGACGGTATTCGAACCCCGGACCTCACGATCAGCAGTGGCACTACTACAGCCACTAGACCAATGAAGCAGTCATTACGAATACATGTATAAAATGTCTATGAACGACGGGACACGGTGGAGTGTAAAAATATAAACGCATTTCTTGTACTCTTCTAGTAATGAGGTGTATTGTGTGAATTAATAGGGATAAGTAAGCATAATAGAAATTTTATATAATATGAGTACTATTACCTCGTACAAAGGATCAGAGATCTTCGCGACTTACAAATGTTGCTTCGCCTTGTACTTAAATTGATAGCGATGTAGTCAAACGAAAGTGAATAACGTCGTTAAAGGGTTTCCTGTACACAAACACGCGCGTAATAGGGATATACGAAAATGTTTAATATCAGATAGATTTTTATTTGAAGAAAACTATTATTAAATTGACGAATCCAATTCATTCGAGCGGAATTCGGGAAATAACAACCCATCTTCTTATAAAATATTCGTTGAAATCTTAATAGAAGAGTGGACAACCAGTGCGTGTTGCCAGTGATGTCCTCATCAGTTATAGAAACGCTTTTACAAGAAAATCCCTGAAATTATACATGAAATTGACTTCCTCAAAATTCAAAAACTTTATTATACAAAGTTTACATAAAAAGGGTTAATATAGTATTTATGGATGATAATAACCCCTGGTTATGAGTGTGATCAAGAACCGTGGTGGCTCAGATGGTTATCGCTCGCTGTAAATTACTCAGTACGCGCGCAAACCGGGTTCGATCCCCGCCGACACCAATCAAATTGCAATTTTAAGTGCTGATTAACCGCGTGCTTGGTGGTGAAGAAAAACATCATAAAGAAACCTGCATGTCTGAGAAATTAAAAAACAAATATTTCGAAGACATGTTAAGTCGGCCAACGCGCATTTGTTTAGCGCGGCGGACACTTCCTTGCCCTAAAACCCTCTCAAAAGGCCGAGGGCAGAAGTGAGAGGAGGCCTGTGCCCAGCAGTTAAACGTATATAGGCTGTAACTTTATGAGGTGATCTCTACCAAGCTATTGCACGCCTCATAGGCTAAACGTTGTGGTTGTGCTCCACTCTCACCTAATGGAAATCCAGTAATTTTCTTTAAAAATGTCTTTATTTTTTTACTATTGCACTTTTATAATAATAAAAATACACATACGTCGAGAAAAATCACTCATTTTCATGTTTATATTAAGTAATTTTCTTTATTTAGTGTAAAAACAAACTAATTGAAAAAAAAATTCGAGGGTCTCCCGATGTCTGTATGTGTGGATGGCGCACGATTACGGTTGTTAGAATTAATGTACCAAAATAATTCTTTTTTATTAGGTT